ACTAAATGCAAAATAGCTATTTTATTTTGCTTTGACTGAAGGATTCTTGGAAACAATTTTTGTCTTGTTGAAAAGATGAAGAAAAAAATATTGGTTTGAAACACTGGCAAACAGGAACCAACCATCAGAGAAACATGATCACCCAAGTCTGTCTGCCTTCTTCTGGAGGTACCCTTGCCCTGTCCATAGCTGAAAGATGTCAGAATGGCTCTTGTGGCTTTAATACAAGTAAGCTGTTTTTTTGCCAGAGCTAATCACTGTTGGTGTATATTACCCAAACTGGTCAGAGTACAAAAAAACGATATTCACAAAGAAGAATACTACCTTAAGGGCCAAGTGCTTACCCTCTCATTCACAGTGATATTTGTCATTTAACCTGAGATAGTTTTGTTGATTTGTCTGGTTTTGGACTGTTTGTGTTGTTTTGTTTTGTTGTGCTGTGTGTGTGTTTTGTTTTTGTTAGGGTTTGTTTTTTTTCGAGGGGAGCTGGGGCGGGGGAGGGTTGTGGTGGTGGTGGTGTTTTTTGAGAAGGAAGAAACAGAGGAGGAAAGTTAAATCTGGGTGAAGGCAAACATCGATCTACCTGCTTGCTCTTTTGGTTCCAGGAAGAATGCTTCACAGAAACTCAGTTTCTGTCTCCTTATATTGAGGAGATACTATCAAAACTTGTGTTTTGTGGCAGTATCCAAAAGGATTTATTCACATTCCCAGTGAGAGCTGTTATTTCCCCCATTACAAGGTGACATGTGATACAATACTACCTATTCCCTGTAATTCATTCAATTTTTAGGCCCCTCTGAATTTCCACTAGCTGTAGAACACCACACTGCCCTATAGCACAGTGGTTACCACAGGTGGTGTTATAATGTAGAAACTTTAACTTGTACCTTCACGTTGTTCCCTTATTTACCCCAAAATAATCAGAGAAACAGATGCTCCCTAGTCCCCTCCCTGTCCTATTGGTACCAGCTCGCTGGACAGTCTCCCGGCCAAACTTCTCTTGCCTCTCAAACGTATGTAGGTGTTTGTCCCAGACAAAGGGGGAAGAGTTGGCAATGGAGGAGCTGAAGAAACAAATGAGCTTTCTCATCATGCTCTGGAATGTCTCTGAGATTCAGGGAAAGCCAAAGACTAACAATGAAACAGAAAGGAAGCAAGGGAGGGTGTGTGTGGGTAGTGTGTGCAAAGCTTTCTTCCAGCTCTCCACTGAGCCATGACCTGGTTTCTCCAGGAGCTGCCTGCTGTTTTCTTATTTTCGAAGCAAGTTCCTGAGACAATGATTTGCATGACAAACAGGGTCAGCGGCTCAGATAGGCAGAGTTCTGAACAGGACCTGGACTCTCCATTCCATCTCCTCTAACACCTCGTCTGTTCCTTTTTTTTTTGTCTTTCTTTTTTTTTGTTTTTTTTTTTCTTCCTTCTTTTTGTCCTGTTTTCCATTTCCTTGTTCAGAATGAGGAAAGCAAAATAGTACTTACCTGCATAGAGAAAGCAAAGGGCATTTTCAGGGTTATGGAATAAAATTTATTCCAGTGACTGCTAGACACTGATTATTTTATGGTTATTGTTATCTTGACAGAATCCAAGAAGAAGAAAAAGGAAGGCAAGAAACAAGAGAAGATGCTGGATTAATGGACCCAACTTGGGCAATGTGAGAAAAGGACAACGGCAAACACGATCAGTTAACAGTTTCATTTATACCTAGGCATTTTATCCTAAAATTATTTATAGCTTAATGGTACCATAGGAGGAAACAAGGAAACACAGAAAAAAAAAATACTCATTTTTTTATTACTTTAGTATTTTTAATGTATAACCCTAACAACAATTTTTAGAGGCCTATAATAAAGGACTCCAAACTCATTTAGAAAATTACACCTATTGTATATTGAACAATGTAGAGGGGTTTTTAATTTTTTTTTTAATCAAGTCTTGCCATAGGTCTCAATCTGGTAATTAGTCCCTGCAAGCAGAACCCAAACCTGTTTGGAGATTCGCTGAAGTCAGTGGTGTCCTGTGTGAACATAGGAGTCTAGCTGGGTGCAATTATATATGATTGGGACCTTACATATGAAAAAACACAGACTTGATCCTTAAGTTCTTATACATCTGGACAAGTGAAGTTTTTGTTTTAGGAAAGAATGGGGGCATTTTTGGGGGTATTTACAGGCATAGAATTTTTTAGATATGTGGTGAATGTTCATTCCAAAATGCTACCATCTCTGGGTATAAAACAGTAGCACTCCTATCCTTGGCCAAGTTTTGTATGTTGGCACTAAAAATTCTCAAATCTTTCAACAGTTGGATAGAGAAGAGTCCAAATTTTTCACAATTTTCTAGCAGTGCTTTTTCTAAGTCAAGCAATAGCAAAACTTTCCATTTTTTATCAACACTTGTGGACAGCAGTGACCTCTGTTTTACCTAGAAAAGCTGAAAAATGTTTTCTTTTATTTGTTTATTTTGCCAGAAGGGAGAATATCCTTTTCACAAAAATCTAATTGAAATTGTTGTGATTATGCCTGACCCAAGTCCCTTTTGTATCAGTGGGAATCTTCCTGTTGATTTTAATGTTGGCTGGTTGAAAAATAGTACATCTGCTGGGAAGTAATGGAAGAAATCTGTTTGGAAAATGCTTGAGATAGTACATATTTTTGACCAACAAAGGGGCAATTTGTGGGACTTAAAACCAAAAGGAGTGAAATTAATTTTTAGTTCTCTGTTAGTAAAGTAGAAGGGAAATACAAAACCACTTTTTCTTCCATTTTTATATAAGAAAAAAGACCTTGGAAAAGCACAGTCAAAATAGAAATAGTTCTGCAATTGATTTATTTATTTTTTTAATGGTCTGCAAGAAAAAGAAAGAAAAAAATACAACCAGATGGTTTTCAGTTGGTTCAATTTTACTTGTTTTAAATGATAAGTCCTGAGTAAAGTCACAAAATAGAAAAAAGTTCTGACAAAGTTCTGACAGTTCATGACCTGGTCTGTCCCCAGGTAAAGGCTTGTCAATCAAACTAAATGACCAGCTGAGCAGGTTTTTTAGAGGAAACATAAGGGATGTCAGTGCCCAAATTTATTTCAAAATGATTGCTTTTAAATTCTAAATCTTAAAATTCAACAGCAAGAAATGAGCTTTATGGTTTGTGTAGGTGGCAGGCTTGCCTGCTAGTCAGGAGGAATAGTTTCCCTCATTCTGCAGATACCCACTGACTCCAGCGAAGCTACAGCAGACTGTGTTCATCTGAATAAATTGCATTGCTTTCTTGGGATTAGCTTGTAGACAAGCAGAGAGTCTTTTTTCCAGACTAATTTATCACTCCCTTTTTCTATGAAAAAAATAAATTAAAAAAAAAACCTAAATGCAGAGCTCACCCTCTTTTTTCTCACGTGGAGGGTACGGCTAATCTGAACTCACAGTGAGGCTTAGTCCTTCTCTAGACGTTCCCAAACACTTTTGAAGCCAGCTAGCCAAGGCTGCATGTAGCTAAGATAAATTAGCCACACAAGTAGTTCCCAGACTCCTCAGGTGTGTTTTGCACTCTGTATTGTTGTCCTTGTTATTTTGACTATGCTGTTACACATACCTGAGCCAGTGGTATAGTTAAAAAGTCCCCAATGTGGTGGACATGCAATGACCAAATCCAAAATATATCATAAAGGCTCATATTTGGGTGATTCTGGGTGCTATTTTGTTTGTTTATGGTCTAATCAGGTCTACCAGTGCTTGTGCCTCGGCTTAAACTAAAGCATTGGTAGGTCTGATTGAAAGCAAAGACAGAAATAAGCTTTTTCACTCACCAAAGGTATGTCTGTCTAAATGCTGCATCAGTTCACTTAAAGTAGTTCAGCTTTGAGTGTAAACACTGTTGCACCATTGTCTTATACTGGTTAATCTAGTCCATGTTTCCTAGGGAGCTGGCAAGAGTTGGGAATGATGCTGAGACCACCATTTGACTGTCCTTTAGCAAACCTTAGATGTGACTTCTGATTTCCGCCTCTGTGAGTTAAGAAGAAAATAAATTCCTCTGTGTTTCCTCTGACACCTTCTGGCCCTTATGATTAACTGCCCATCTGGCTTGTTAAAGGAACATTCCTAATATTTTTTGAAAGAGGCCAGTCAAGGTCCCATTATTGTGATGTTGGTGTAGGGCCTTCATGGAAAGAGTTTACAGAAAACAAAGAAACAAACAAAAAAATACCATGTTAGGACCAGAAGAAAACACAACAGTCCTCACAACACTGAGCATGAAGTAGGAGAACATTTCCTCTGTACTACTTAGCCACATCTTTTTTATCTACTTTGGTATCTTGTTGTTGACAGTAATTGGAGCCGTATCTTTCATAGTTTATATAAAATTAAGAAAAATTCCAAGAAAACAGCAGAAAACATTCTGTGGAAACTCTGGCTATGAAGATGATAGAAGTAATTTGTGGCAGAACACAGAGGAAAGCTGGATAGAACAGATTAGTCAGGTCAGCTCTGAAAGGATGTACCTGGTACCTAAGAGGAGCAGTTGCTTCACTAGTGATATTATAAAGTAAGCAAGAGGCAAGTGTCTGAACAAAACCTCTTTCCATCCCATCATGTTCAGTTTTCAGTCATTCTGAAATTCCTCCTTATTTTCTTTTTGACTCTTCTACCCCATCTCCTTTGGGAAGGCAAACTTGTCTGACAGTGCTGTGGGGGCAGCTACTTCAGATGAAATATGTATTTTGCTCTCTTGGTGCTATCCTATTTCAATGGAAAATGACTTAGTATAGATGTGTTGATTAGCTAGTTTAACCGATTGACACTTATTTCATCAATGTCCCTGTTGAGAAGTGGCTGTCATCTTTATTTGCTACTGCTACAATATGGTATAGGGAGATGCTAAAAATCTCCCAAATGACAGCCTTTTTCTAAGTACTGAGCTCTCCTAGAAGAGAGAGGGGTGAGTTGTTGAGTATCAGCTAAAGACGAATCTGCATCCAGACTCTAGATTCTGGAAAGTTTAAACTTAGGGGAATTTGGATATAGCTCCCTTCCTCTAAGTAGGCTGAGCCATGCTGCTAAGCAATTAGGACTGTATATCTTGATTCAAAACAATATTTGAGGATTGGGACATTTTCTGACTTTGACCCGAAGTGCCCATATTGGAAGAGACTCTTTGCTCATCAGCCTGACATACTTAACAGACTATTAAATGCAGCAAAAAGGCTCCAGGAATAGAAACCACTTGTACATGCAGGTAGATAATAAGTTGTAACTTACTAATTCTCATTTAATTCATAATGACATTCTGGACTGTGCTGTCTTTTGAAGGAGAAAAATTAGGAGAAATCGAAGTATAATAATTATAAAACATACCAACAGACAATGTTGGAGACTTTGTCAAGAAAATACAGATAATAAGTCTGCAGCATTTTTTACAAACTTCTTTTGCATGCTTCTTGAGTAGGGAAGGCAGGATTGCTGGCTGGCACATTTGGTTTTATGCTTTGCTCGATTTGTGCCTTAATGAAAACTAATCAAATGTAGAATGTCACTAAAAGTACAGAGGAGTCAAGTCCCACTCCAACCTCAAAACAATGTGTTCAACAGGAAGCAGTATCAAAGGGAGACATTAGTAAACCTTTCTTTTCTGGTTTACAAGTGCAAGTTATGACAATGTTGACAGGAGAAAATATAATGTATTTCTTAGGTGTATATCCTTCACGACTTGGCATGTGGCAATGGACAGTTCAAGTAAAACAATGGAGCATTAAGATGAAGTACAGGGAATTGAATACTATGGAGACTGTTTATGGGAACAAGCCTATAAAACCCCTGAAATGAACCATGCTGCTAGCAAGGAGTGTTTGAAGACAAACATTGTATAGCATTCCCATTTTTTTAGTGGAATCCCTTATCATATGATGACTTTTATCAGAATTACCTTACTCTAATGTCAGTTATGAGGGTGAGATAAAAGCCAACCTGACTTTTCCTCAGTCTAGGAACTGTAATAACATTAATGATATAAACCAGACACATTTCTCAAGTAAAATATTGGTGAAATACACCATTTTGACATGACGTAATAGTGTTTCACATCTCCCAAATTCTTATAGGAAAAGAAAGCAGTGTGTCAACAGAGGTAGGTATTTCATATTCATTTTTTTAAACTCTTTAGGACAGCTCTCTAGACTCTCTAGTCTTCTGTCAGCTTCTGACTGTGTTTTCTCCTTTGTGGGGAAAGATTGTACCTGTTCTCTGCCTTCTCCCATTTATCCCTAATTTTGATAGTATTTGTAGCTTTTCTGTCCATTCTGTGCAGCCAAACTTCTGCGTATATTGTTTATCTTTCCTCATGCTTGAGGCTGTATTTTCCATTTCTTGCTGACCTGTTGCAAAACAGCCCCAGCAAGCCCCTACCACCAGGTATCTCATTGTGTCCTTTTAAGATTAAAAGACACAATAGCAACTTGTTAATAAAAAGATGACAACGAACAAGGAAATATGAGAATGTGGGAGAGTGTCTTGCTAATAAAACCTTTATCATAGGTCAATTTGAGTGAGGCTTCCTAGGGGACAGTAATGCATCACATTTGATCAAAAATTAGAGACAATAATGAAAAACTGCCCTCAAACAGAAAAAATCCTTAGCTAGATAAACAGTGGCAAGAAGCTGCATCCTTTCCCTCAAAGTCCTCCTTCACCATAAAATTAGAGGAAAGAGACATGGTGCATAGAGCTTCCGGGACAGTGGAAGACTTGCCTAAGTAAAGTAGAGCATGGAGAGAACTTCTTTGGCCCCATGAGTATTTGCATTTGGAGAAAGTTAAGGTAGTCTTGTTTATAGCAGCAGAAAACTCTGTGTGCTTTTGGACCAGAACTAAATGATGCTGAAGTTATTTTCCTAATGTTCCTTTTCTGCTACTCTTAAAAAATGGCAGTCTGCCTTGTGGCCTCATCACTCTGACCTAAGCAGCAATGAGATATTACAAGGAAAACATGGGAATTTTACTATATTCAACTAACATTATATCACTGGTGGGGCTGTGCAATCCTTTTAACCTTTCTGCAGTTCACTTTAAATGTGGAGTGTCTTGGGGTCCCAGCTGGCTAAAAAACTCAGTAGGTATCTCATAGCCTTTAAATTACCTGGCTTTGAGTGAGTTGCCTATGAAAAAACTGTGCCTACAGTTCTTACTCCTTTCTTTAAAAAAACTGAAATCGTGTCCAGTGTATGAATGTATGAAT